TATAAAACTCCTTCAGCATATTGGTTGTTACCTATATATATCGTGAATGCCATTTCACTTGGATTAACAATTACCACAAAAGTAGAATTTTATGTACAAATTGTTTGTAAAAATTACTATGATTCGAAAGAAAATTTTTCTTCCATAAACCTTAATATTGTAGATGATGTTGATATATGTAATATTCCGGAAATTCAAGCTATTACTTCACAATTGATGATGGTATTAGCTCTTTGTTTAGCGATACCAGGTAAAATTATATTTCTACGCAGAAATGTTTATTGAGCATAAACTTGTGATACAGTAATGCATAGAACTTTCAATTGCTTTCAATTGCCTTAGGAGTCTTTGTATTAGTACCATTGGGTACACTCTCTGATAGGAAAGGACGTCGTTTAGTCCTTCTTATTGCGTGTGTAGGAAAAATACTTGAGGCTTTAAACATTATTTTAGTTGGAAATTTTACGGAATTTCTTGGATTGGGATTTTTGATATTCGGACAGCTTATAGATGGATTTTTTGGTGGATTCGCGGCATCAACGGCCGTGATGTATGCATATGGTGCTGATTGTACAGTTCCAGAACGAAGGTAATATATCTATATATGTATATATTTATTTCCTACATTTATTTCTATGCTATCGGTCAATAACCTAAACTATCTCAACCTTTAGGAGAGTCATATTCGGACTGATGCAGGGCGCGTTATTCTTAGGAATCGCTATAGGTCCTATTATTGGTGGAAAAATAGTCGAGTTCACTAATGACCTCCTTTCTACATTCTATGTTTCACTTACAATATCTATCATGATGTTCCTATTTGTCCTTTTTTTCTAGGCTTAATTCCAAAAGAAATTAAACATCCGATTCCAAATATTCCGGCAATACTATACCAAATCAAATGCGGCATATCCTTCATAACCAAAAGACTATACATAGTATTATAAAATGTTGGCGCAACTATACTCGTCATAGATTCCAATACACTAAACGCACCTAATAATTGACCCATTTGTGATGGAGGAACCAAATTTGTTTGGTATAGTATTGCCGGAATATTTGGAATCGGATGTTTAATTTCTTTTGGAATTAAGCCTAGAAAAAGTCAAGATAAAACTGTTGAAACGGATAATGTTGAAATCATAAATTTGTAATTAAATGAAAAATTTGTACATTAGGGTACACTGTATAAACATTCATTATAAAATAAAATAAAATAATGTATACATATTACTTTATAATATAGATTATTATTAAACCAGACATTATTGAATCCTGTGCTAAACATATCGATATCGATACTGTATACGTACGTACATACGTAGGTAGGTAGGAAATCTGGAACAAGTTACGTTAATGTCCGGATTAGTGCACTGACTAAAAGGATCAAGTTCGGGTTAGCTATAATCCGACCTAACCTACTCGATCGGCGCATTATATTACAAATATTTATATTATATCGATATTATATTATACTGTATTATATAAATAAGTATATTTAAGCTTCAAGAAAAACACGTTTAATTTTTTTATATTTATACAAATATAGAAATATAATTAAAGCAATAAAACTACCGTAAAAGTCTGACTTGTGTATCCCATGGCGTGCGTGTACTCCCACCAGTTTTAAGGTTTTAAGAGTTGGGCGGTGGTTTATACCCGGGCCGGATATTCAAGTACGTACGTACGTACGTACGATATATGCTATATGTATCATGTTAGGTAGAGATATTTATCTCTATATGGTGTATCCCCTCTACACAAGTACCCTGGGTACGTACAACTACGAGTTAGGGATATACCCCGGGTACACAAGTCAGGCTTTTACGGTACTTAATAAAACTGTTTAGATTTCTTTACTTGCTTTAATAAAATATATGTATGTAGTGATGGGACCTCTTGAATTATTAATAATAAGTAATTATTATTAACAATTATTAATATGCAGTTATTACTGCATTACACGTAAACTGCTAGCAATTATTGCATTTTTAAAAAACATTAATAATATTAATAACTAATTATTAATTATTTTATTATTAACTAAAAATTCAGATAATTATATGATTTTTTTAAGTCTTTCCTTCTCTACGAACTTGTAATTATTAAGAATCTATGTTTTCAAGTTTGTTGATGGATGCTGTTCTGACAATATGTTTTATGAAATCATAAAGTATTTGTATTTTGAATTGCAAGTTTTCTATAATTGCAAATAAATTTTTCAACGCCATCTTTATGAACTTTAATTCGGATTCGATTCGGATTCGATTCGGATTCGATGAATCTCATAATTTACGAATCCTGCGAATCCGAATCCAAATAGAGATTCGATCGGATAATATTCGTTTCGGAACCATTTTATTACTAAAATCCACCAATGCTAAACTGTCTGATTTCTTGTGATTTTTTTTCATTTGCGTAATATTGTTTCGCCTAATAATTATACTCAAGATGACATGAATGCGGTTATTTTTTTTTTTGAAAACACGTGATATACAGTATTACCAGAACCGGTACGAACGAGTGATGAAATTGGCACTCCGCAAAATCGTGGATCTGATTGGTCCGCGTGACCCTAATTGTCACGTAATGTTCATTTTCTTCTTCTTTGCGTATTAAGACTTTGTGTGCATGTATACGTAATTGGAGATTCGATTATCGTAAAGCCGATTATCTTGGGGACATTTGAAGAACAGTTAACCCATTGATCAATGACCAAAGATCACATAACAATAATAAGGGACGTCTAAAGCCGTGTCCAGTCATATGTTTTTGACTATTTGATAAAAATTAGGGTAAGGGTTAGTTTAGGGTTAAGGTTAAGGCAATTCTTATAGTAAAATTGTTCTGCAGACATTTTTTATTAATGCTTCGAGGCAGGTTTAGACACAAAAGTCCCAGCGTTACCAACAATCGAGGGCGCAGTCACATGATCTTCCGACACGATCAGCCAATAATAAGTCAC